CCGGGCGCGCCGGGGACCCCGCCGACCTGGTGGCACTGGCGCAGCGCGTGCAGCAGGTGCGGGGGGGCGGCGTTCATTGGGGCCCTCACGGGGATGCGGCTGATCGCGTGTACGGGGTTCGTTACTGTTATAATTACCGTGTTGTTATTAATCGCGGCCATGGATGGCGCTGAGTGGAAGTGGGCCGGCACAGGCCGTGCCCGCGGTCGGGGTCGGGGTCAGGGTCGGGCCAGGACGCGGTGCTGAGCGCTCACGTGGATGACCATATCGGCGATTCATTCACCTATTATTGCCATGATTTACTCTTCGTTTATTGCTGTTATTCGTTGCTGCTGCTGCTGTTAATCACGGTCGTTAATGGCGAGGGGCGAGAGCAGCTCCTGGTGGCGGTTGCGCAACGCCGCTCGCTCTTTGCCCCGCGGCCGCCCCCGACCGCGCAGCTGGCCGCGCCGCCTGGGGAGGGGCAGCCGGGCACTGCCCGCAAGCTGCCCTGCGTTCCCCTTCTCCTCCTCCTCCTCCACCACACAGCCTAGTAATAAAAAGGCAGTTTTGCTCATCAAACTGTGTCTCCGTAAGGGACGAGGTGCAACAGGACTGGCTTGCCCTGAGCTCGTCTGACGAAGGGTGTCTTCTTCCCGACAGGCAGATGAATTCATCCGAGCTAACGCCTGCAATAAACTGACCGTCATAGCGGAGCAAATCCGGTACTTGCAGGAGCAGGCACGGAAGGTAAGGAGGAACCAGCCGCTCTCGGTGCCTCCTCTCGGCACCCGGAGGCCGCCTGAATGAATAGCTAAAATCTGAAGGATGAAAGAGCCCTTAAGGGTCGTCCTGGCCCAACCCTCTGCATGGATTCAGGCTAGAGCCCTACCCAGCCCCTTTCAGAGGGCAGAGAGACATGCCGCTTGTAGCTGTCCATTAGTGGTGCAGAGAACAGAAAGCAAAGCCAGCAGGAGCTCCTTCCTGTCTCCAGCACAGAAGTGATTTCTGCTTTCCAGGAATATTTTGAGTTTGGGGAGCATGGAGGGAGAGAGCAAGCATCCCGATTCATTAAACACAGCCAGAAGCTCTCGGGATACCTTTGCTCTGGCTCCCCGGTTCTGTTTTTTCTTATGGAGATTGTGCAGGTCACACCGAGAAGGGAGACGTCACCGCAGCAGAAGTATCAGTTTTGCTAGGATGATGGAGCTTGTCCGAGATCTGTGGTCCAGAAACTATTCTGACACGTCCAGGGGTTTTGAGGAGGAGAGGGAGAGCACAACGAAACACCAGGATTAGATGCAGCCTGGAGGTGTGGGCCAGGGGGTGCTTGAAAACAATTCGGGTTGTGCTATCGGATGTGACGGGTGAGGAAGAGTAGCTTGCGGCTGAGCTTGGCTTTGGTTAGACATCAGGAGGAAATGGGGACTAGACAGGGGGAAGAGAATAGGCACCAATGTAAAGGTGATGCATGAAGTCATGTGAGTAGATAAGAGAAAATAACTCAAGGTGCAAAGGAAGGAGAGGCGTGAACTTCAGGAGTAGCCCTGGGGGAGTGGGTGGAGAACAGGATCTGGCACGGGTGGGGTGGAGGAAGCGTGCATTTCAAATGCCAGGAGAGGCCGGCATATCGGAGATGGTCAGACTGACAGGCCTCACACAGTAGATGTGTCACTGAGAGGTATGTAGTGCCATCCTAGGAGATGATGATGGCAGTGATGATTGTAGGAGGGCAGGAATTGCTTCTTTGGTTAAGGGCCTGTGTCCTTACAAATGCTATAGATTGATCTGTGACTGTGATTCAAGTCTGCAACCCTGGGTGAAAGTAGTGGGTGGCCGTGTCCCTTCCTTTTAGTCTGTTCTGTGTCCTTTCCCTGAATTCAACGGCCCCAAGATTTTTGATCCCTCCGTCTGGATTCTTAACCCTGATGCCCGCTCCAGTTCATGGTAGGTGGCGGTTGCCAGTCTTTTTTGGCCTGTTGCCACAAGTTCAGCCCTGCCCCTCCCCAAGGGCCCCGCTTGCCCCCAGCTCCCAGAGGTGTCCGTGACAGTCTGTGCCCCGGGGTGCTGGCGTGGAGTCAAGGGGGGCCCAGCCCCTGGCTGCATGGAGCCGAGAGGAGTGGGGACAGGATGCTGCAAGAGGGGCCTCCCTTCCAGGAGCCAGGTGAACTGTTCCCTGGCCCTGCAAGCCCAGCTGTTTTGTATGGTGGGCAAGGATCCAAAGCCTGAATTTTGGTGCCAGCTGCAGGGCTGGGGAAGGGTTAACCTAGCTCTTGGGGGTGATACTTTATACCTTCTCTCACAGCAGCTGTCCTGCTCTGCTTCATGTGGCCAGACCTTGAGTTTCCCCCAGCCCACTCTGGCACCTCCCTTTACCGGGCGCTTGGGGCTCCCATGCTACACACAGCAGCTCCCGGTGCCACTAGGTGAGCGGGGCCACCCTGGTCTTAAGTAATGTGCAGCCATATGTCTTCTGTCAGCTCCAAAGAAGGAAGCCCGGGAACTTGAGATCTGGAAACGTAAATAGGAACAGAACAGGGATAGATCTCTTGGCTCGGTGCCGTTGCAAGCCCTTGTGTCATGTGAGCCCGGTTATAAACTGACCATGGAGCAGTCTGCTGACTCGAGCAGCACTCTGAATTTCCCTTTTGTTTGCTGGCTGAGATCCTGGTCTTGGGCAGTTCTGCTGAAGCCCTAGCGTAGCAGACCAGAAAATCCTAGCAGGGGGGTTGCGTGCAGTCCAGCCACTAGAGAGATCCTTCCCACCAGAGACAGAAGGCACATCTCTGAGCCAGGAGTGTCAGGCCCAGGCAGGAGCAGGAGCTGCTCCGACAGGGGAGGGTGGGTCCTGCTACTTCTGGCAATTGGTCTCGCCCTGCTGCCGCTGCATACAGAGGTCAGAAGCCACTAACTGGGTCACTCGCCTGCACTGAGGAAGTCCCAGGCTGAAGACAACCCTGCCCTGCCCTCGGTGTCTGCAGTGAGCCTTTGTGCTCCAAGACTTATGCAACTGCTACTGAAGCAGCACCTAGGTGAGCTCATTAGTCCCAGGGCTGGTCCTAGTAATCTGCCTGCTCTCTCAGGAGAAAGGTTGCTAGACTCCTTCTTGAGTATTACTGTATGTTCTTGCATGCAGCACGTACCTCTTTTTCTGAAACTCAGCTGCTGGAAGTTGGGGTGTTGTTCATTATAAGGAAGGAAATACAGTAATAGCAGGTTCTGCCTCTCCTGGGAGCAAGCGTAAGTAATGCTGTAGGGGGGCTTCCAAGCTACTGACGGTGAACACCTTTCCTTTCAATGCCCCTGCTGAAGCTCTGGCCACAGGAGCTGCTGCTCAGTTAGTACTGCTCAGCAGTATTTTCAAGGAAAGGTCTTTTTTTCTTCATTCTACCTTTCAGAAGCAAGGTGTGTGTCGTATTTGGGGGGTGTGCTATATGCAAGAGAATACAGCGTAGCTAAGCAAGCCATTTACATTACATATCTAAGTCTAATAATCTTTAGTTGCAGAGCAGGGGACTTGTTGGCATTTGAGTATCACCAAACTAATTAGCCCACTCTTAGCTGATCTTCCTCAAGAAAGTTCTTTCCTTCCTTTCCAGCACTCCTACAGCCCGAGGAGGGAGGTGGTGGTGGTTGGATATGTGGTATATCATTTGTAAGGGACTTCAGGCAGAAGGGGGTTACTGCTTTGTTTTTCTTCTCCCCTGTGTGGACTCACTGGGGGCAGGAACCTTACAGTTCTGTCCGTCTGTGCCTTAGGTCTTGGATGAAGCTAACAGAGATGCTGATCTACACCACGTGGCCTGCAATTTCGTGAAGAAACCAGGAAGTATCTACTACTTGTACCAGCGGGAAAGTGGCCAAAGATGCTTCTCCATAATCTCTCCTAAGGTAGATGATGAATTCTTTTTTTTTTAGGAAAAATGTTAAGTGAAACCAAGAGAGAATAGGAAGAGGAAGTCAACAAAAAATATTCAAAGTCCAGTTTATCTTTCCTTGGCTCTCTTGCTAAAAGCCATATTGGCCTAAGAAGTGTGGCACATACTAAAGCTTGCTTTGTGGGTGACTGGAATTGTGTTCATGACTGAGGAGCTGTGTTGTGAAGTCACCTTTAAAGAAAGTTGAAGTGCTTTTTGTGTTTGAAAAGTGTGTAAAAAGATACTCTTCTTGGGTGACTTGAGAACTGAGAGGATGGGGTTTTGTAGGAATCCCCCTGAAGGAGTTAATATACATGCTTTCAGAGCCTTCTCTGTCTCCAGCCAGTGCGGAAGGCTCTGCCACTACTGTCTGTTTAGGTCTTGAGACTGATTCACTGACTCCCACAGTTCCACGTCGGTGTGGATATGGGAACCAGGAGCGACCTGTGCCCAACTAGGAGTTAAGTATCCAAAATCTCCTCCTTCAGGCAGGCAGCCTTCTGTGAGTGTGACCAATGGGGGTTGGAATTGTCATTAAATATGATATTGAGGCCTCCTATATCCATGTATCTTCAAATAGAGCGCGCAGCACAGCATGGAGGCAACCCTATCTCCTGCCCTGGCAGCAGCAGCTTTCTAGGAGCTCCACAAGAAAGCTAAGGATAGAAAATGTAATGGAGCCAGGCCCCTTTCTGACTGATGTGCTACCCAGTACCAGATGGTTGAGGAACATGTCAGAGTCATCAGATTGCTTGTGCCAAAGATCCCAGGTTTGGTTAGCCTTTGCTGAAGCATCCAGTATCTAATGTGTGTTAAACAAAAGCAGTTTTTAATGGCCAAGTACAGAAAATTAAGAACAAGCCATACAAATGAGGCTTCTATACTATTGTCATTGCACAGAGCTTGCACTAGAAAGTGTAGTAACCTGCCTGAATTGGGAGCAGCGTTCTTCAGTCTCCTGTGTAGAGCCATCACACCCTCAAGTAACCTGTTAAGTTTGCAATGAGCATGAGCTATGCATGAATCCACTGGTTTGCATGACTTGCGGTGCTTGTCGACTGGCTTTTATGGAGGCACCCTGTAGACAGGAGGAAGCGACAGCTGTGATGTATCTTCATTTTTAGTAAGGCTTCTGATGCCATTTCCCACAACCTTCTCATATAAGTAAGCTAAAGAACGGTGGTGTAGATAAAAGTACTATAATGTGGGTGCATAACTGGTTGGATTATAGAGCTCGGCGCCAAATTGTGAGGGGGCAGAGTTCCCTAGGGGTCTATCCTGATCATGAGAGAGGCTGTGCAAGTTTTAGTTGCAGGTTAGGCAGATACCTTGTCTGGAGTGGTTTAGACAGGAATGACGTTGTCTTGAGCAGGAATCTGGCCTGCATGACTTTTCAAGGTTTCTTCCAGCACTATATATTCCTGATTGTACAGCAGTGTGGTTCTGGTAGATGGGCCTAGGCATCATCTGCCTGTCAGGCTGATCTTCCAGTGAGTATGTGAGCGGATGCTGATGTGAATTTGTTCCCTTCTGTTTTCTACAGGAGTGGGGGACCAGTTGCCCACATGCTTTTCTTGGTGCCTACAAGCTTCAGCATGACATGTCCTGGACTCCATCTGAGAACGTTGAAAGACGAGATGTTGAAATTGGCATCATTGATAAGCTGCTGAGCCAGCAGGCAGCACTACCTCAGTGTGCAGAGCCCAATTTTCAAGGCCTCATCAAGTGAAGCAGGCTGGCAGTAATCGTGGAGATGTGAACAGCTGAAGTTGCTAGCACTGCAAAAAGAGTTTCAGGAATAGACCAAGAAGAAAAAAATGGTGATTCTGTTCATTTCAGCTACTACTAATTCATTTTTCCTTGAAAAGTTTGAACACAAAGTTTTGGGTTTTTTTCAGTCCCACCCAAACATCTATTAATGTGTTGGTTTGGCTTATGACTGTATAAGGGCAAAAAACAAAACACTGTCTTTTTCACTAGGCTCTTTTTTCTGTGATAACATGAAAAAGGTGACGTTGCTTCCCTCATAGTCTAGGAGATGCACGAGAGGCAAGAATTTGTGTATGATATCCCTTATTGGGCCGACTGCATGGTTGGTATAGATATAGACCAATGTTCAGGTACCACAGGGCTGAAGGAGCATATTGTAATACCCAAAAGCTTGCCTATACTTATATCAAGTATACAGTTGGTTCAAATAAAAGGTATCGCCCACAAGAACATAGAAAAGAGGTATTCCTTCTCCCCAAAGGAGTCTCCAGATACGTATCAACCAAAAGACTAATAAGAAAATCTTGTTTTTTCAATCACCAGTTTTGTAACTCTGCCATTTGTATCAGAACTGCACAGCTTAATGTTCACCCTGCCCTTTTCTGCAGCTGCTAAGGACTCGTAATCGTGAATCAGTCTCGCTGCAGTCATCTCTTTCACTGACGTTTGCTCAATTCCAGTGAAAGGAATTGCTCCAGTATCAATGAAAGTAAATCCTTATGTACTCCCGTTTAGAATATCCTTCTGTTATCAGGTTCCCCTTGGATATAGGGGGAGTAAGAAATAGGATCCACCCGGGAGTGTGTTTGTGTGTGTGCCTGTCTGTCAGCTGTGCTGCCACTTGAGGAAAGTGGTCCATTCTAGCTAGCTCTGGTTTGTACAGTGTAGTACCATCTAGTACAACAGGGCTTTGAGATCTGTTTAAGGGTACTGTGGGGTGCTGAGCAATATTAGCACTGTTGGGTGTGCAAACATCTCTACGCGATTTGCAAGAAAAACCCAGAGATTTCAAAGACGAATCTATAGCATTAAAAACACTCTGCCCTGTTGTGGTCTTTCTGAGTTCTGTTCAACAGGAGAATTGTTCTTTTATTCTTCCATAGTCCAAAAAAGCAGTGAAAGCTAATAACTGGCATTTTCTAAGGGGTGCCATTGGTGCATATGCACAGGTAACTGGTTCTTCCGTTTGAGGGCAGGTCCTGGGATCCAACAAACCCCGGTTTTGGGAGTTCTCAGCCACATGGGCTTTGAGTTGCAGGGGAACTGAGGGAGGCTGTGGCCTCCCTGCCTCTAGTGCTATGATATGGGAGAACAGGAAAATACCTAGTACCTGCTCAGCTCCAGTGGCTGCTACTACTCAGTAAGACTCCAGCAGTGTTTGTATGAGGCAGAGGTGTACCTACAATGTCATCTGCAATTTGGTAGGGAACCACAGTTACTGTAGGGCGGGGTGTCAAACTTATCTTGGGTTCTGGACCATGGGGGCTCCTTCTAGGCTGGATCCAGCCCAGGGCATGGGGTAGTGGCTACAGCCATGGCAGCTGCTCGCGTGTTGGCAGAGATATAACAAGGCAGCTGGTGCCCAGTGCCCTGTCAGGGTATGAGAATAAAAGCATTTTCCTACTTCACAGGTGGATGTGAGAACAGGTGCATTAAGGACAGTGAGGTACTCTGATGCTATGAGAATGGGGCCTAGGCAAGTGTAATAGCCTGCAGTACATGCATTAGACAAAAGTCTCTAGACCGATCATGGGGTGCTAGGCAATGTTAGTAGTGATTTGAAATAGGAATCCATAGGATTAAAACTGTTCTGCCCTGCTGTGGGCTTTCTGAGTTCTGTGCAACAGAAGAATTGCTCTAGTGTTTTTCTGTCATCAGGAAACAAGTGAAAGCTCAGCGCTGGCATTTCTGAGGGGTGCCTCGAGTCTAGCAAAGGGTGCCTTAAGTTTAACAAGGCTGAGACTTAATTGACAGTAGACACTAAACATGCAACTGAAAGTCCCATACGTATGTATTTGGCTGATCTTTCCTACGTGGATCCTCAGGCTGAGTATTTCTAGTCTACCCCTTTGCTTTCTCCCTCCTTCCCCGCCCCCTTGCCCTTGTACTCCCAGCTCTGGCTCCAGAGCCTCTGGCAGCAGGGAGGGGAAGAGGGACA